CAGGTGCACATACACAGAAACAGATGCCACCACCTTGCTTGCTCAAAAATTTGTCCTCGTCGCGTTCCTCGTACACATTAGCATCTGTATTGGATACAAGTAAGGCCGCAGCTCTCACAGCTGAGAAGCAGCTCGCGAAGCTGAAGAATGCGTCGTTGGGATCCAGTGGGCGTGCTCCAGTGGTGCTCCATTTTAGTGCAGGAGAGTCTATGCTTGCTTGTCGTACGAGGAACGGAGGTGAGGTTCTTTCCACTGTTTCAGTCGTGAAGTGGAAAGCTTGTTTATGGATTTTGGCTGTCTATTCGTCATACATAGAACAACCTGAGTCCTGACCAGTCTCCCAGCAGATTCATACACTATACCTCACGCTACCACCAAACCTGATACCTGGTCCGAACATGGTACATGGTATATCTCTGCGATCGTCCATTCATAGCACATCTCCGCATATCACGCCTGATGGCAGTTTACGAGCACGACTAGAGGCGAGGTTGGTGAAAACTTGATGTAGGGATTCCACCAATAGACGTGGACAAACTGCTCGAAGAGCGCCCACAACTTCATTCTCGTAACACCGTTCCCGCAGAGTCTGCGTCCTTCTACCAGACTGGGAAGCGCAAGCTCACCAAGGCGCGTAGAGCGAAATCTAACCCACGCTCATGGCTTTCTTTTCTCCCATTTCATCCTCCAAAACTACGAAACACGACCATGAATTCATGCTTACGCTTATTCACAACCTCGTCGTTCCTCCGCCAACCAACTCCGTTGATCGTATGATTTTTTCACTTCAATGTTTGCCCTGATTCCAGTGCCTCGTATGCATGCTAGGTGTGTCTCGCAAACTTCATAACCTGATATGCAAGTAAATAATGTCCAGTGAACTTAAACGTCTAAGCTTTCAACTACGACTTGGAAACTAACATTGGTTGATGTGAGATGTAGCTTGAATACGAAAAAGTGATCGAAGGACAAACTCACCTCTCGCTATACATGGTGCAGGACGTCTTTCCACTTTTGTATACGCTCGTCCCTCTTTTGCTCCTATATAAATAATGCAGGTCAGTGTGAGTAAACAGATGCGACGAAGTGTCGAAACAAACAAATCCAGTACAGGCACTGCATTTCCCATTGCCCGGTAATCCCCAAAAGAGGCTGTTGGAGGCCTTCAGATGGGCCGCAATCTGAACCAAAGCTTGCTTGCAGCGCGGGATGTCTTCAAAGGAGAATTTTACACGTTTGTTCATAATGTCCTCAACACAACCAGGAATGGAGAATATGACATCGGGGGGCTCAGAGAGGGCAGAGGAAACTTCTGACGACTCGCTTGATGTCATACTAACTGAAGGATGTGGCGTCTCTGGATTATAGTCAGGGTCGTTTATCATAGTCTTCTCCCAGTGTTTCATCTCGTTGGAATGTGGCTGTTCAGCATCGTAATAAGTCCAATCCAGTCCGCAAGCAAGAACCACGCCAAGTGATTTGAGGTCTTGATCATCAGCAAATGCGTGGATTGCCTGCTTTGCCACTTGTTCGTCTAGGATTTCTTTGAACGCTTTGTGGGATTTGATTCCTGGCTTGACCTCAATGGTGAGGATGACACGTTTTTTACCGACACAGGGCAGACTTGGAGATCCCTCTGGTTGAGTTGGACTGGTGCGATAGAGAATTTGCGTGAAATCAGGTATTTTAATGGACCTTTGTGAAATTTGATTCGGCCCGGGAGGCGACAGAGATATCTGCATGCTGCTCAAGTCACTAGGCTGTTGTGATGAATGGTTGGATGGTGTCATATCATTATCAACGCATCAGTAAACCGGTGAGTTCTTGCTGGGGATTATGCTGATTATGGTGCTTTTACATGGTCATATATTGCTTTATATCACTTTATATTACAATGTGACGAAAACCTTTCCTATATATTACGATATATAACGATATATGACGATATCTTCTTCTCACAGGTTCTCTGATGGCCCGCCCACGTCGTAGGTCCAGGTGAGCGAATATTGTGAGTTTGACAGGCAGACCGTTGTTTCAGTCACGATATCTGAGTCCGAGTGCGGAAACATGTATTGATTCAGGCAAATGTCCCAAACTCCATACCACGGGCATTTCTTGTGGCGTATGTCACTGGCAGCGGCACTGATGGCGAGACGTAGTCGAAGGTCGACATCGACACTAGCCATTGTGCAAGAGAAAACAACAAATAGTCGAGTATGCGTGGGTGTAGATTGAAGACAACAGAACCTGTATTGCGAGGTCTTTCGGAAAGAAACTGCCAGCAAGGCTTCTTGAGATAGTAGAGGTTGAGAGGGACTTTCGAAAGAAGAACTCAAATACACATTAAACACTGAGACACGCCGGCGAAAATAAGACACGGCCATTTGTGAATGTCAGAGTTCTGACTCGGACTGGTCTGGGTATGTGGACTCGGATGTCAATTGTCTGTTATTGAATCTCAAGAGTTCCGAGAGGCGCATAGTTGATGAGTTCGACGAGTAATACTGCTAGGTCGATTAGCTTGTGTATGAATCAATAGAGTAGTTGTCGGAAATGTAATCAATGAGCGTTGAATGATTGTTTCGGTGTGGTGCGGCAGCGATGCGCTGAGCCCTCCTCGTGGGAGTCGGGGATGGGCCAGGTGAAATTGACGCGGCCCTGCCGCGCCTGCCGCGGTCGTGACGCGCCTGTGACGCGGCACTGACGCGGCATATGTGACGCGGCACTGTAACAAATTCCTATGTACAAATCATGTTTACACAACTTCATATCGCATTCCAAACACTTTGAATCATCGTTAATGATCAACATATGAGTGTCTGCCTGCGTACAGGCTCTATAGTGCTGTATTCACCTCTCACCAAATTTACAGTGCTTGTCCTCTGCGTTCATATTACTAGTATGCATCTTGCGCGTCAGTCCTATATTGTTGCATTACCTCTAATTCGTTCATCTATGTTGGTTTTCAGATGCAGTGTCAAATGTTGTCTCACTGTGTCAAGCTTCGACCTCACCCTGCCAAGTTTGATCCACTCTCTATACCCTGCACCAACACGTCGAGCCCCAACCATGGCATGTCAGAAGCCTCGTTTAGGCTGCGTCAAGCACTACTCACACCACGACAAGTTCTCCCAAATATCTTCGCAGTCTCTGTACTAATATCAACATCCACACTCTATGCCGCGTCAAGACCTACTACAGTGCCGCGTCAACCATAGCACATACCGCGTCAGTTGCCGCGTCAAACCTCCTCCATGCCGCGTCAGTGCCGCGTCAAACCTCGTCAGTGCCGCGTCACCCGCGCGTCACGCCGCGTCACTGCCGCGTCAAACTTCATTCATGCCGCGTCACAAGTAGCACATGCCGCGTCAGACCTCACCACCTCCACATGCCGCGTCAAACCTCACCACCTCAACTGTCACACTGTCCGTATAACTTAGGTACATTTTACTTTACATCTGTCATAATAATTGATATTCTAACGGTGTTCCTTTTCATCCTGACAGAATTAGACGTCGTACACTGTAATTGTCCATAGGCAGTAATAAATTTATTTTACTAAGCATTCTTTCGTTGTCTCCTCTGGGCTCGAGAAACAACCCTTATTATCGCGCTTTTGTAAATCGTATCATGGCCTTTGTGAGTTCTTTAAAATACGGAGTAAACTTGTTATAACCATCTTTTAGCAATTAATCAAACATATATTCAACTTTTTCTATCCCAACGAGACAGAGAATCAAAATTATCCAGATCGGCCGGGTCCGCTGCTGAGTTTTGGGGACCTCATACCCTGCTATGACCGTTCAGGTGCGTCATCCGACATATTCTCCTTGTGAACTCAGATTTGACAAATAGAACAGGCAATGTAATAGCTTATCTTCCGGCCTCCGTGCAGACCGCTCAGCCATCACATGACCCTGCACACTCCGTCCCAAATCCACCACCCCTCCCTCAACACATGAAACACCACTCACAAGAGTTATTCGAACTCTGCACGGACACAAAGTCTATACCACGCCGACGTGCCCGAAGTGTTAGTCCTTCTGCAGCCCGAACAAATCAACGCCGTGGTCTGGATCAATCCTCCAATTCCCTACGTCCCAAATCTGGCGGTGGAGATGAGTTATGGGACCCATTCGCGTGAACAAGGAGGCCACTTCTAAGACTTATTGCTGGCGAACTTTGGATGCACAGGTTTTATGTGACGGCTCCCCCAATTTCATCACTTTGTATCTTGGAATTCCTGTGATGTTGATAGTCGAGTTCGGTGATGTCCTCCATCGCGATAACAAATGGAACATTCCCAAGCACATAAGGCCCCTCACAAAAGAAGCCGAAGAACAGCATTCCCTCGTTTACGATGTGGTTGGCCTTGCCTTTTGTGACCCTACACCAAAGCTGGATATGCACAATTGTTGAAGAATGCGACTGTCAAGAGCCATCTTGTGGGCAATTTGCACGACATCCCGGCACCAGGAGGCTTCAATGTTCATGGTGTTGTGTATAGGCTACGTGGTGGCTCTGATGCGCAGAACTTCTTTGCTGAACATCAAATAGCAGCCGCAGAACGTTTGCACCATGTTCATGTCGAACGTGACCTGCAGTCACCAAGTTCAATTCCTATCATTTCTTTGTCTCGCGCTGCAGTGGCTGCTGTTGATCCAGACAATCTTATTTGGCTCAAAAACCCTGCAACTACACAGAATATAGAATACGAGCAGGTGGTAACACTGAACACAGGCAGTAATTCCAAGAACAAAGCACCACCCCAACACCAACGTTCTCGCACAAAAACGAAAAAACTTCGGATCTTGTTGCCGGTATTGGAAACTGAAGATCGGCCATCCATAAACGAGGGTGAAAAGCCGTCTGACCAGGCCAGCGTACCCGAGCCAATCGAGGATCCATTGGTCCTTCAGGCATCTGGCAACGAAGAGGAATCACTGTCCACATCCAAGATAAAGAAACCATTAGAGCTGGACGACGGAGAGAGTGAAGCATCTGACTATACATTTGATTGTAGGTGTGGGGCTCTTGGCAACGGCCATGAAGTTGCAGGTGGTCAAAAGACAATCCGATGTGATCTGTGTGAAAATTGGTCACACATTGCTTGTCAGAGAGGTGGCCGAGCCAGCAATCTTCATCCAAAGGCAGCATTTTATTGCGATGGATGCTCAACACAGGAGTCAAAAGCACCACCAACCCGCAAGTAAGTTTAAACAACTGTGCCTCTCGCATAAACTGACATCCGTGACTCAGGAGCAGCAGGAAAGCCACAACAAAGAAGAAAACGACTCCACTTTACACACGTCTGATGTTTGTCTTTTGATCTCCAACCCTAGCTGAGAATCGAGATATGGCTGATCACTCACTTATAGTGCTGGCAAAGGAGCTCTGGCTCGTCTCGGGAAGTATTGGTATCCTGTGCGGCTGATTCAGTCCTATGACACTGTTAGTCTCCCTGCTAGTGCACGCAACCGAGTACGCTGGCGGGTGGTCTGGTGGCGCGGTTGCAGATTCCCATCAAGTTTGGGATCACCTCCTGGTGATGTTGAGCAAGGAGATCTCGTGGATGAACTTTGGCAGGACGAAGCTAAGAGGCGTGAGATTCGCGTGAGTGACAGTGACTGGTTATACTCGCAGTCCTCTTGACACGAAGTATTGTGTAGCTCGGAGAATGGATCCACTCTTGGGATACTCCTCGCGAAGAAGACTTGATTCAAAACTTTATGTCAGCGGAAGTATCAAAAGAACTGGACGACATTCTACTACCACATATTGCTTCGCTTCAGAAGCTCCTTGACAGTCCAGACTTGAACCAATATGGTGCGGAGGCATACCCCGTGATAGACTACATCTTGCGATCGAAGAAGAAGCCAGATGGTGTGGGTGCATACAGCATACCGTTTTGTGGTGACATCTCATCTCACGAGTATGCCAAAATTGCACGTTGGTTCTCGGAGAATGTTCCTGGTGCTTCCGGTCAAGTCGAAAAATGGCTTGGTGGCATGCCTTTGGTGCATGCTTTCACTCTCGTGGTTGCTCACCGAAAGGCCAGTGATTTTGAAAAACGCATCGAAGCTCGAAACGAAGAATGGAACGATAGCATGCTGTTGAAGATGGCTTGGGCTGATCTCATGATAAGCTATCCTACCAATAGCTTCGTGGCTGATGTCGACCTCGAGTGTCTGACCGCACTAGAAGCAAGGATGTTCGAGGATTCCGAAGAAGCAGGACCTGCAGGCAACCAGCAGTGGGGTTTGGATGCTGGCCAACATCACAGGCGATGGAATGTGTATGTCGGAATTCCTGATGAATGGGTTTCTGCAAGAGATTATAGCGAGAGTGAACTTGAAGTGAGGAAGACATTACCTGCTCCGTTCGATAGATATCTAACTTATGTGATTGACAGCGCGGCCCCTTATTCAGTGATAACTCTGATGCTACATCTTTGGAGTCTGCAGACGAGCTATCCGAAGCTGTAGTTCCTTCTCTGCCGGCCAAAGAATGTCCGCCCGTTAAACGTCGATGTGCTCCACAGGCTCGAAGGGTCCAGAGAGGGAGGAAAAGAAAATAGTCATTGGCTTATGTATACCTAGTTGTACATGGCTCTGAGGCAAATAAAATAACAAAAGAATGGTCGTGAACTCATCCAACTTGATCTGGAAGTTGAATATAGAATATAGGAATGGCGCGTCAGTGGCCGCGTCAAGGATCGTTAGTGCCGCGTCAAGGCTCGTCAGTGCCGCGTCAGTGCCGCGTCACATGCGCGTCACGCCGCGTCACGGCCGCGTCACGACCGCGGCAGGCGCGGCAGGACCGCGTCAAAATAGCTACGCCCGTCGGGGATTACATATGCAAATGGCCATCACCCTGAACAAATAAAACATCCACTGCGCCGCCACGCACCCCTAACCTGCAGCTGTGAAGCTATTGCTCTACTACTATTGCTTTATAATTTGTCGTCGTCTTGCTCGAAACTGAATCATAAGAACATGTCTCAACAACAATTCCAAAGCCTCGATGAGGCGATGTCCAGCATGCAGGTGTGTCCAGGTCTCATTCGTTGATATTCCCCTTAATTACTCTTGCCCAGCTTGGTGAACCCAAGCAAGACCAACAACATGATTCTGGACGTACCAAAGAGTCCCGACGCCGTATCAATATAATCCTTCCACCTCCGCAACATAATGCTCAGATGTACGGTTACTACATATCTGAGGAGTGGCTTTATCAGACAGCTCTTTCCTTCCTCGCTAAAGTACACCCCGATTTTTCTGAATCCAAGGCCCGTAGCAACGCCAGAGTGAACCCCACCTACAGCTTCAGAAAAACCTTCCACATCCGTTCGCTATCAACGACTTATGCAATTCCACCTCCCGGGCAGATCATTCCAGCGGAATGCATGTATGACAATACTGTTTGCGTGTTGTACATCTTCAACGACCAACCAGAGAGTTATAATTACCGCCCTATTCAGAAACAGGTCGATGAACTGACTAGGTTCATGGGCAGAGAACCGCAGTGGTGGGTAGGTGTTATGTCAGTAAAGTTCTACAGATCGATGTACCGCTAAGTACTAGTTCGGAGTTCCGCAGTAGGACCGTACCAAGTTGCGCAGCGCAGCCATTTTTTTTTTGAATCTTTGTTTAGTGTCCGCCCTATGTTGGACATTACCTACATATATGTACTGTTATCGTATCTATGACAATGGTTCCGGCGTGAGCGAGGACGTTTGGAGCCTTCTGGAGGCATTGGGGATGGGAGGTATGGGGTGGCTTTAGCGGGGTGCTTCATCTCTCTATGACTATGCTTTCGTCTGCTCTTCTCTTTCCTCTGGGGGGGTCACGTCGCCGAAGGTGCGTTCGAAGCGTTTTGTGCGTGCTGTGTACTTGAGTGTTGCCCTCATTCCTTTGTACTCATTGAGTAGGTACTTGAAGTTGCAATTGCGTTGGCCGACTTCGAGTCTCAGAGCGGTGCGCTGTCTGATGAATGACGAGCAGGTGAGTAGGAAATGGTGGACTGTTTCCTCGTGCGCGTTGCAATGTTCACATTTGGCTGGCGGGGCTTTTGATATGCGATGCAAGTGCTTGTTGAGCGCGATGTGACCCGTGCGGAGTTGAAAGAGGATAGAGCCGTGCTTCCTTGTGAAAACATGCGGGTGTGTGCTCACTGTACCGCACTAGATTATGGTGAGTGTGCGATTGGATTAATGTTTATTCGTTGACTTACGAAGTACGTCAGAATGTTGGGTAAATTGACTAATCCCATCCCTCTAAGAGAAAGCGGATCAGCTTCACTCGCATAGCTTCGCTAGTACTCTCATGCGAAGTACATCACACCTGTGCTCGGTTGGTTCAGTGTTTACAATATTGGTGCGACGAAATACCATCTTGGAATATGACCTCATGGGTATCTCTCCTAGATATTAGGTAGAACCGCGGTGATCCCCTAGCTTTCCAAGTCCTGATGACTGTGAGGACAAAGATGATTGATTCGACGTAGATAAATATTATCACCCATGATGTCGTCCCATGATCTGCAATTGGACAATTCTGTAGCGCCATCAATTTACACCGAGATGTAACTTAGAATACACTGACGCATAGATCTGGCAGGACTTTTGAGCAGGCATGTGTAATGATGAAGGGAATGACATACATTGGTGTTGTGTATATTTCATGGCAGTGGCCGTTGTCGACCGCCCTCTGTGTTACATCAGGTCCAAATTTACATAGAATTCACCCATTCTTTTTGGAGTCCAGACGTAAAATTGCCCTTACTTCTGCACTGTCTAAATCGAATAGCAAAGGGGCAAATCTCGATGAGAACCTGAGAAGTACAGAATGTGTCGCGCTGCGACCTGATAAAGTACCGAAAAAATCCCTGAATCACACAAACACTATGGAGACCGGAACATCAAGGTCAGTTTCTAATGGTCAACCGCATAGCCGAGTGTAGATCCTTACTAGAGTTAGACGTGGAATTGTTCGGAAGAAAATGGGTAGCGATATCAACAAAACAGAACTACACAACAGCACCAGTATGGCAGTAGCTCGAAGCTCAGCGCTCAGGTTCCGGAGGGAGAATGCCCGAATATTCATCAGCAAACTACTGAGGCCTTGTACACATTTGTACAAGCCTCACAAGCCCACAGCTAAGCCCCCGCTGTACAGGCTTGTACAAGCCCTACAAGGTCACCTTGTACTCCTTGTAAAGCTTGTGGGCTTGTGGATTTTCGACCACAAAGGCCAAAAGAAGTATCACTAGTGTCTTGTGGGCTTGTGGTCGAAAATCCACAAGCCCACAAGCTTTACAAGGAGTACAAGGTGACCTTGTAGGGCTTGTACAAGCCTGTACAGCGGGGGCTTAGCTGTGGGCTTGTGAGGCTTGTACAAATGTGTACAAGGCCTCAGTAGTTTGCTGATGAATATTCGGGCATTCTCCCTCCGGAACCTGAGCGCTGAGCTTCGAGCTACTGCCATACTGGTGCTGTTGTGTAGTTCTGTTTTGTTGATATCGCTACCCATTTTCTTCCGAACAATTCCACGTCTAACTCTAGTAAGGATCTACACTCGGCTATGCGGTTGACCATTAGAAACTGACCTTGATGTTCCGGTCTCCATAGTGTTTGTGTGATTCAGGGATTTTTTCGGTACTTTATCAGGTCGCAGCGCGACACATTCTGTACTTCTCAGGTTCTCATCGAGATTTGCCCCTTTGCTATTCGATTTAGACAGTGCAGAAGTAAGGGCAATTTTACGTCTGGACTCCAAAAAGAATGGGTGAATTCTATGTAAATTTGGACCTGATGTAACACAGAGGGCGGTCGACAACGGCCACTGCCATGAAATATACACAACACCAATGTATGTCATTCCCTTCATCATTACACATGCCTGCTCAAAAGTCCTGCCAGATCTATGCGTCAGTGTATTCTAAGTTACATCTCGGTGTAAATTGATGGCGCTACAGAATTGTCCAATTGCAGATCATGGGACGACATCATGGGTGATAATATTTATCTACGTCGAATCAATCATCTTTGTCCTCACAGTCATCAGGACTTGGAAAGCTAGGGGATCACCGCGGTTCTACCTAATATCTAGGAGAGATACCCATGAGGTCATATTCCAAGATGGTATTTCGTCGCACCAATATTGTAAACACTGAACCAACCGAGCACAGGTGTGATGTACTTCGCATGAGAGTACTAGCGAAGCTATGCGAGTGAAGCTGATCCGCTTTCTCTTAGAGGGATGGGATTAGTCAATTTACCCAACATTCTGACGTACTTCGTAAGTCAATGAATAAACATTAATGGCGTTCAAAGTAAATTTCACAGAGCTCGCTAAGCTCTGTAAAGCTCGGTAAACTCGGTCAAAAATAAGATTTGTCATACTACGGCTTGGGCCGGCATCGATCGGAGTCCCAAAAGACATGCCTGCCCTACGACCACGACTTCGTCGCTCTGCGCGACTACAGATACAGTCTCAAATCATCTCCCCGTGACGTTGCAAGACCGGGCTGAAATTTATGGAGCCACCACCAGCTCCTCCTGCACGGGGAAAGGGAAAACGAGGCAGAGGAGGTAAAGATAGAGCTACTACTTCTCCTACTATCTCTATCAGCTGGCAAGCGGTTCCCCAGCGGACCAATAGGCTGGTTGACTACCTCGTTGGACACCCACCAGATTGCTGCATTCTGTTCACCAGTGAAAAGAAGAATCCAGCCAACCGTGAAGCTGAGGGCCGCCCCTCAGGCAAAGACAAAAAAGAAATCCATGCTGTCATTGCAAAGGTTATTTTCTCCGACGATCCTCAATACGCGGTGCTCTACGCCTTGAATCCCAACAAATTTCGGGACTCTGTATATAATCGCATCGTGGCGTAAGTGATCCCCCCCTATTTTTATAATTATCAATGCTGATCGCTGATCACAGCCTCCGCACTAAATTTCGTGACATTCGTGCTGAATTTGAGTCCACAGGTGCAGGCATCATGCCCATCGATTCAGAGACAAGCGTGAATTTGCATCGTGAGTCTTCTCCTCCCTACATGAATTCTTCTAATTAAATTTGTAGGTAAATACGAGAAGGACTTTCCCTGGTACGATCAGCTCTACTCCATCTGGGGCTCCCATCCATCATTCTCCGCCAAAATGTCATCGTCAAAGCCGGGCGTTGATCACATGAGTGATCTCTTTTCTCTCACCCGTCCTTCGGGTGGCTCTCTTCGTCCCCCCGCTTCCTCCAGCACTGATCCTGGCTCTCCCATGCAACTTGGCAACATGCCTCTCCCCAATGCTCCAGCTGGCGGCGTTGCTGGGTCGTCAACTGGACCCACTTATGACTACCTTCCTCCAAATGCTCATGCAGGTGGTGCCGCAGCCGCGGCACCACCTACCTCCCCCCAATTTTATCACACTCCCCCTGCTCCAAACGCTCATGCAGGTGGTGCCGCAGCCGCAGCACCACCTACCTCCC